GGAATATGTATCATGTGGAAGAGAGAGGCTCAAATGGAAGTGTCTGGTTATAATCAAAATCAGGTGGACATCTTGTTTAAAGCAAAAGGAACAAAGGGGCCATGGCTCTTAAGTTTTATATATGGGCACCCTGAGTATCAGAAAAGGCGCATGCAATGGGAGAAGCTCAGTAACTATGGGAGGAGCCTTGACCTTCCTTGGCTTTGTATGGGTGACTTTAATGACATCGCCAACAATAGTGAGAAGGAGGGGCAGAGAGAAAGAGCACCATACAAGATGAGAGGCTTTCGAGCATTTATGGATGATAGTGGAGGACTCATTGACTTGGAAAGTAAAGGCTGCAGATTTACCTGGGATAATCATAGAGAAGGCGTGGCTAATGTGAGGGAACGGCTGGACAGGGGATTGGCCTCAACTAGTTGGAGAATGGTGTTTTCAGAAGCTACAGTAACAGCAACTCCAGAAATTGGATCAGACCACTCCCCACTGATTCTTGATACAGAGCCTATAATCCATAAACCAAGGAAACACTTCAAATTTGAGGCATACTGGGCGGATGAAGAAGAGTGTAGTCAAGTGATTAGACAAAGTTGGAGTGAAGAAGCATGGGGATTTAGAATGTACAAGCTAAGACAGAAACTATGAAGATGCCAAGGACAACTGAGGGAGTGGAGTTATAAGAAGTATGCTAATAACAGAAGACAAATTGATAGCCTCGAGAACAAGTTGCTGGAGCTCCAAAATCTCTCGCATTCGAATGTGCCCTAAGAAGAGATCAGGAGGACAAACAGGATCTAGAGAAGGTGTGGCAAAGAGAAGAAAAATATTGGGGCCAGAGGTCAAGGCTGAAATGGCTGAAGTGGGGGACAGAAACTCAAAATTTTTTCACGCAACCATGGTACAGAGGAGACAGAGGAACAAGCTCACTATGATTAAGGGTACAAATGATGAGTGGGTAATGGAGAAGGAGCAGATAAAGAAATTAATTGAAGAGCATTATCTGATGATATTCACAACTGAAGGGGAGAGGAATTACTCACAGATTTTACGGCTGGTCCCACCAGTCGTTACAACACAAATGAGCCAGGAGATGATGAAGACTCCTACAATAGAGGAAATCAAAGCAGCAACTTTCCAACTTGGAACCCTCAAGTCACCAGGACCTGATGGACTCCCTGGCCTATTCTACCAAAGGCACTGGCATATCATTCAAGACGAGATATGTAGTGCTATCCTCTCTTTCTTTCAGTCTGGATACTTGTTAAAGGAATTGAATAAGACAAATGTAAATCTAATCCCAAAAGTGCCCAACCCTGAACGTATAGGAGAGTATAGACCCATTAGCTACTGTAATTTTATTTATAAGATTATCTCTAAGCTGATAGCTTCAAGGCTCAAACCTTTCATGCCTCAACTGGTGTCACAAAATCAAAGCGCCTTCATGGGAGGAAGATTAATACAGGACAATATTGTTACATTCCATGAGACAGAGGAGGGGAACTAGAAAATATCAAATGGCACTGAATCTGGATATGGCAAAAGCATACGATAGAGTAGAATGAGACTTTCTTAGGGACATGCTCCTTACTTGGGGTTTGAGCACAGGTGGGTGTCATTAGTGATGCAATGTGTAACAAATATGAGGTATAACATACTTTTAAATGGGGAAAGAACAATAAGGATTACACCAACTAGAGGGTTGAGGCAAAGAGACCCCCTCTCACCTTACCTATTCATTCTAATCTCCAAATGTCTTACTGCCCTGATGCAAAGAGCCATATTAAATGGGTCCCTCAAAGGGCTAAAGATCAATAGGAGTGCCCCCTGTTTGACTCACCTACTATTTGTGGATGATTCATTATTCTTCTCCACTGAATCAGTATTGCTATGCTACTGGTCAGTTAGTGAACTTGAATAAGTTTGGAGTGACTTTCAGCAGAAATACCCCAGCCCATGTGCAACAGGAGTTGGCGGCAGAGCTCAAGATACGTGTAATGCCTAAAACAGGTAAATACTTGGGGCTACCGACGGAGTGGGAAAGATCAAAGAGGCAAGTGTTCGAAGGGCTAAAAGAGAGGATAATGAGTAAAATAGCGGGATGGAATGAAATGTTTTTGAATCATGCAGGTAGAGAGGTTCTGATTAAGGCTGTGGTGCAGGCACCCACTTATGCCATGTCTATATTTATGTTACCTAAATGATTTTGCCAAGAAATAACTGCAGGGATTAGAAGATTCTGGTGAAGCAAATCTATAGGGGAAAGAAGGATACACTGGAGGAACTGGGGGCATATAAGTAAAGGCAAGAAAGAGGGAGGATTGGGCTTTAGAGACTTGGAAAGCTTCAACAAAGCTATGCTGGCTAAGCAAGTTTGGAGGATGATACAAGACCCAGGGGCACTATGGGTGCAAATCCTCAAGGCAAAATATTTTGCACAAGGATCCATTTGGAAAGCAAAATCGAGAGCCACTAACTCTTGGATCTGGAAAAGCTTATTACAAGGCAGAGACTTGCTGCAAAGGAGTTGTTACTGGCAGATAGGGGATGGAAGTCAAGTGGATTGTTGGGAGGATACTTGGGTAATGGGTGCAGGAGTGCAGGAGTTGATACAAGTCCCGAACAAAAGATGGGATAGAGAGCTGGTCCTGACTTTTTTTCCAGCTGATATTGCAAAGATCATCCTAGAAATACCCCTTAGTGAAACACAGCAAACAGATAGAGTAAGATGGGCACATACAAGGAATGGGTAGTACTTAGTGAGGAGTGGATATCATTTACAGTTGAGCTAGAATGAGGAGGAAAAAAAAATACCTGCATGCCTCTACATCCTATAGAGCCCCACAAGACCTCTGGAAGATGTTATGGAACTTACCAGTATGGCAAAAAGTTAGGATGTTTATGTGGAAGGTAGCGAATGGTGCACTAGCTACAAGATGGAACCTATGGAGAAGGAAACTATCTAGCTCTCCTCTGTGCCCCATATGTGGGGAGGAGGAAGAGACTATGGAACACTTACTGTTTCTGTGCCCTTGGGCAAGTGAGGTTTGGAGGACATCCCCATTGCATATTGGCGTTGATAGATACAAAGTGAGTAGGATTGAAGATTGGTTGAAGGAACAGATGCAAAAGGAGATGGACAAGGGATTAAAACACAAAGAGAGTCAATCGCTACTGGCTTACATATGCTGGGTTTTATGGAAGACACGTAATGAATGGGTATATCAGCAAAAACTACCCAAGGCAGAGGGGTTCTAAGCCAAGCAGTAACGACAACAAAGGAGACCCAACTAGTTAATGCAGCGCTTAAAAATGGCAGAGAAGCTAAGGAACAAATATGGGAGCCCCCACCACGGCAGTGGATAAAGCTTAATTGTGATGGGGCATACGATGAGCGCACTAGGGAAGGGGCTTATGCAGTAATAGCAAGAAACCATGAGGGATTAATGGTGAATGGAGAAGCAAAACCTTTAATGGCTAGAACACCTTTGATGACTGAAGCAGAAGTAGTTGGAGGAGCATGCAAACTAGCGCTAAGGGAAGGATACCAAGCCGTGGTTATTGAATCTGATTCAAGAATTGTTGTGGACCCGATCAACAAGGGAGTTACAAGATCAGCCAAGGAGAATTGAGCCGATATTGCAGGATATTTGGGAGTATAAGAAACACATCCCACAAGTACAGTTCAAAGCAATTAGCAGAGAGGCAAATATGGCATCACATAGTGCAACTACACAGGCAAGAGTTGGAATACTACCTAACAGTTGGGTGGAAGAGCTACCACCCCAGATCAGGAGAGTCTTGAGCAGGGAGGAAAAAGTAGGGATAGGATGAGTGTTTTGATGTAATACATCCTTGTGATGACCCTCTGTTTAGTTTTCTAATACAATTTTATTTCCTGACCAAAAAAAAAAAATCTTTTAATGTTTTTAAGGGTGCAATATGAGAGTTTTAACTTTTAAGAATGTAAAATAAAAATTTTGAAAACTTTTACGGTGCAAACTGTAATTTGCTCAACTTAAAAATGAGTACGCAACATCATCTAAAGGGCCACACAACTGAAACCCAAGATCATACGTCATAAGTTATGCAAGCAAACTGTACATGTATAGCAACATCCAATTTTAAATCTAATTAATTGGATATGAATTGATACTTCAGATCAATGATAAAAATCTAAATTTAAACCTATTATACTATATCTCACGAATTTAGGCTTAAATATACCTCTCATTTCCAATCCAAATTTAACGTAATGAAATAATTAATTATAAGATAAGATTGAATTGAAATTTTCATATAGTTGGCTAAAATGCAAGTGTAATTCAATAATTATGATCTTTATCGGAATTTATTTTTTTACTAAATTCAAAAATGGACTAAATAATAAATTTCTTCGTAGGTTTAAGGTTTTATGTCCAATTCAAATACGTATTGGTCAAAATCTGATCCAAACTTGAATTTTTCCGTTCTATAATCCGACAATAAAAAACAGAACATACAAGCAGTAATATAATTCAACCATCCAATTTCCAAAAATTTTCTTGCATTTGTGCCATTAGCCATCCCTTTTAAATCATCAAAAGCCATTCTAACATCCATCCACCTTATCAGTGAATATTTGGTCTAATGGTACTCCTTGTCTTGTTGAGGTTAGGGTTCAAGTCCCTATTCCCCCTCTCCGTTCCCCCCCCCACCCCAAAAAAAAAAAAAAAAAACATCCACCCACCTTCACCCTCAACCATTTCATTTCTGCAGCAAGGACTTTGCTACAGCTTAGGGAACTTGGGTAGACATAAAAACAACGGAATTTTGGGAGGAATACATGTAAGCATCCTTACCCCCATGCAGAAAAAGTATTTCTACACTTAGAACCCGTACCGTTCAGATCACAATTATACCACAATGCCAAGCATCTTAGCATAAAACATGCAGAGGCAAACCCAGTTGCAAACTATTAGATTTTGTAATCATGATATCACAAGCAAATCTAAAACTTGTTTGATATTGCTTTTTATAGTATAGGGTGTTCTTTTGGGGACTAGGCAATACTGGAGTTCATTTGCAAGTTGACAGCACTAAAAAACAGGCAATCAAACTCGATAGTTGCGATCAATCACACAGCCACTCAAATCACACTGTCATTGCACATATTTATCAGCTAGACAGAACCCAAGGGACTTGAAACAGAAGAACATTCAACTTGGATTTGAAGCCAAAGGCCGGCCACGCCCAATGGTAAATCCTCTGGTTCCATCAGGCATCTTTGGGCCAGGTGGTGGCTTTGAGGTTTCAACACCATGACTAGAGGAAATGGTTCCATGGCCTATAAATTGTTTTGTGAATAATTTATGAGAGCCAATTGGTTCAGTGAAACAAGATCCTTAAAAAGGAACATAACCAAAAGTGAAAGCAGCAAGTTGCTTGTATACCTTGTCCACCAGTACCACGATATTTTTGCCTCCTTCCTCGTCCTCGGTTTTGAGCCCTATGCCCATTTTTCTCTTTTGATAAATGCTCTCCATCCTGTAATGCAAGTTAAGCAACATAAATACACTCCCCTGAATCTGACATACAACCATACACACAAATATACACTCCCCTGTGTGCGCGTGTGTGTGTTTTTTTATAGGTAACGGAACTCTTGTATTAATAAAAAATGAGATATATATAAAAGAGGCAGGATAAGAAATTCAACCATGAGGAAAAAGATGAAAGACAAAAAAATACATAACAAGCCTATAAATCACGTCTCTCCATCCCACTAAAATTGCAAAAATTGGAATTTCTTTAAAATCCTTAGAAACCGAAGCCCAAAATAAGGAAAGGAATGAGATCTCAAACACTAAACGTAGCAATGATAGCACAATTCCAAAAGGTCACACCTTTGTCAAGGCTTCCCAGACCTTTCATATCTTCAATAAATAAGGATATGCATGATGCGAGAATCAACCCATTCAAACCCCGCCAATAGAAACAACTTATACCACAATGTCAAAACATCATGGCAAATGTTAAACTAAATGATCAATACTTTCAAAATCACTTTTTCACATGAAACCCCCGAGGGAAAAGATAAGTTTGATAACTTCTTTTCTGACGCATATCACAAGTATTACAATCCATTCAAAAACTTACACTTTAATAGACACTTTCACCTTCCATATCACCAAAGCAGGAGTAAAGATAGGAGAAGAATATTCATTTGACAAATAATCAAAAAAGGATTTACAAGAGCACACTCCCAAAGATTCGAGCACCCACTTTATTGTGTCACATGACAAGATTCAACGAAGAACTATTAAGAACAAGAAATGAAATAAGACCCCTAGTGTCTCTATCACCTGAAAATTCCTTATGGAATCGCAAAACCCAAGAATGCAGATGAGACCTAAGCAAAGAAGCAATGTTAATCACACTTCAAAATACATTCTGCCCCCCCCCCCCCAAAAAAAAAAAAAAAAAAAAAACCAAAGGGAAGTTTCTAACCCATGTACCCATTACAAAAATCTAGAGCCTTGGCCACCCATGCCTGATGACCCCTCCTCCATCATGTCCCACTTGGCTGCCAATTGTGTATTAGACAATGAAAATAACCCAAAAAAAAAGAAAAGAAAAGAAAAGGTATTGTAATGGCAGCAGTAGGTGGGTTACAATGCATAGGTATTTCATAGGCAAATAACTTTGGCAGACTACAACATTGAACAATAAGGCATTCTTGTCAAAAATGGCTGGTACTCTCAATATTGTCTCTCTTATAATGTAATCCAACTGCAAATTTAATTGTGTGGTGTTGTCTTTTATATGTCTGTGAGCTCCAAATGAACACACCTGGGTTGTGTGATTCAATTGAAACGTTCAATCGATTAAACAATAACACTCTAAATGACATAAAAATACCTCTTCATCATGTATGTCTTCGTGATGCACAATAACACTCTAAATGAAGTAAAAATACCTCTTCATCATGTATGTCTTCATGATGCTCATTCAAATTGTGTTTCTCCTTATGTCCTGCTCGATCAGATGCTTGGACATTGCTGGTCTTCTCAGAATCAGATTCCCTCCAGCCATTTTTCTTCTGTCCATGCTTGCCCTAAAGAAGTGAAGAAGCCAATGATGTTCACACTTGCATTTGCCAAGAAGGGAAAAGGAAGTAGCAGCCAAATACCATTCCCTTGAGAAGCTTGACTCGCATACCATACCGCCAGTCTTGCTCATCATTCAAAGTAGCCACCTGAACCCAATTAACATCAGGGAGTGTCCCGAGTCCTTAACAGTTTTCACTCAAATATCAGAGACAATATACAATAGCAACAAGGCCAGTACTTCATACTCACAGCTTTCTCTGCAGCCTCCACAGTCTCATACTCCACAAGAGCATGTAACTACATGCGAAAACCAGAAGAAAGCATTAATCCCCTTATAAAATTATCATAAGGATCGTATACTCTCCAGACAATATTCACAACCAGACATAAAGATGTGCCTTTTTTTCTTTTCTTCATATTTTCCATTTAATTGGAAATTCTTTTTTCTGATGGGGAAGTTGGTTGTGCTTTAGCAAATCAGCTGAAGGGTGCAAAGCCAAATTTACAAAGCAGCATGGCAAACATCATCAACTTCGTAAAGTTCTCTCAAAGCATGAGTGGAAAAAAGTATACTGAATTAGCTTCCGTTCCCAAATAAATTTAACTTTACCCTTCAATTTACCTTATTGGGAACCAGGCATCAAGTAGGAAGCACACTTTGCATCCTGTGTTTGGTTTAATTAAGGCAAAAAAAAGAGAGGTGATTTCATTGGGTTTCATTGCTCAAAATCCTTCAAGAAATTTCTTTATAAAAGTCAAGTTTTACAAGAACCAAACAGAAGCAACCAGCATTTGCATAAAGAGTACATCTCATAATAAACCCATAAAAATACTAAAAACTAAACACACGCGCACCCTCCCACTGGGGGGAGGTTGGGGTCCAAATGCAGTGCACCCTCAAATCACAAGCAAATAAGCATAAGAACGCATAGGAAGAAAATGAAACTTTAAAGCATATTTGCTTGTGATTTCCTTGCATAATTTCCTTTCTCTAAATTATGAAAAGGGTTTTCCATAAGATGGAAAATGAAAACTATTAGCACCACACGAGGTTTGTGAATAAATGATTGCCTAATAATGAGCAAGGAATATCCGTCTTTCTACTAAACAAGTTGTATTAAACTCATAATTCAATAAATCTTTTTTATGAATGTCAACTAAGTATCGTAAGTAAATTGCTCCTTTGTTCAATCATTTGATAACCAAAGTCATTATTTGATAAATGATCAATATGAGTCCGACTCGATAGAATTTGATTAATCCCCTAGCAATGTTTAAGTAGAAGATTGACCACCTGTACCTCTATAGGGTACAGTCCACATTCTAAGCTTAATAACATTGATTTCAACTGAGGTATGACTAAGATTGCAGTAGCAATTCAAATGCTTCACGCTACAATTACAGGGGAAAGTATCAAGTGACTTAAGAACTACAATGGCTTGCTCAAAATTCATGTCTAAATGGTATTGTATATGATTCACTAACCAAAAGATGATAGAGGAAGTCATTCATCACAAATCTTCAAGATGAGTTATGTTTCTACTTGTTGGGGACAATTCTAATTTTTAAAGTGAGCATGCATGCCAATGAAATCACCGGTTAAATAAAAAGCAAGGAATTAACGTTAATTTACATCTATTTGATGTCATACGCCACTTAAAATCAAATCCCCTACTCGCATCAACCCAAATTGCGAAGCATTTGTTATCCATAAGCAGATTCAAACAATAGTTCTCACTTTCTAGCAATTAGATTATCAACATCCTCGAATACCTTTTCTAAATATTTTAGCTATTCTATTGAACATAATTATGTCATTTTCTTAATCAAATGAGGCAAATTCACGCGTCAAAATTTCCGCAAAGTGGTACATAAAAAAGTTCCATAATAACCCCATAAATTATCATGCCAAGTGACAAGAAACCTGATATCAAAGAAAACTACCATTTATTAAATCAAAACATACAATATTTATTTCCTTGAAAGTAAAAGCTTTGGACATCATGATTCATATGCTTCCAAGCAATTACATTTAGTCAGCATATTGTGATTCAATCCATACCTTACCACTTAGCAGCTTCTCCGCAATTGTGTGTTTTTTAGGGTCCCTTACACCATGTGGGTCACGGATGGCAACATTCAATATTCTGGAAATTTAAAAATCAATGTAGAACAGTTGTACAATACATAAAGAAGGCACAATCAAAGGAAACATGACATGGGCAATGAGGAAATAACATACTTTCCAGCTTCACCAAATATACGGTGAATGTTCTCCACAGAATGATCCTCTGGTAGATTTTCTACCAAAACAGTGCATAACTATGTTCCACAAATTAGATGCAACAGATTTTAAGCAAGGATCTTATAGAGTGAAGAGACAAAGACAATTCAGAAGGAAAAGATACCCGTGGATCCATGACCTCAGTGAATGGAAGACGATGAAGTCGCTTCACCTTCTTTTCATCTGAAGTTACAACCTGCAGTTAAGAGATCTATCTTTTGATTTGAGGAAATAAGAGGAATAAAGAAATGGGATAGTAACAAGGATGGGTAAACATCCGGACAAATACTTGATTGGAAGTATAAGTTGTAACGCTAAAAACAGGCAGTCAAGATCGTAATGGAATATTGAAGCTTTCCAGTAAGACAAGTGGCTTACGAGAACAGAAGAATCCCTGAGTGCAGCCACTACTAATGCTGTGTCCTTTGTTAGCTTTTTCATCTTCTTAAAAGAAGCAATAACTCCAATAGGAACTGCAAGAAGCAACATGCAACTGTGTTACACAAAACACACAAACAGAGAAAGAGAGAGAGCAGTAGCAACATCATGCCACACAAATATTTAAGTAAAGGTGACGCCCAACTCATTCAAGGAAAAGCCAGAGGCTTTTTTAACACACTGCATTAGCAAAGCAGCTCCATAATCACAACAGACCATCACAGGTTCTCTAAAGAATGCCAACTATTCACCAACATGCATGAGGGAAACATATCTCAAGATGATTGTCTACGGCATACTGAGAAATCCTAGCAAAAACTCCACTACTCCTCAAATAAAAACAACAAACCAGTTGTGTAGATAAAATTGCCTGCTAGGCAAACTTAAATGCGGACTTTCTAGCCTCTGGATATTCATATCAACATCCCACTTTAGTAATCGACTTTCCACAGTATATGTCACACTGGAGCAAGTCACCTAAGGAGTAGTAAAGATGATACAAACACCGTTTAGAGTTATTGTGTTCCTATTACATATTAGTATATTCTAGTTAGGGCAGTATCATAACTGTTCCCAATATCTTATAATAGAAATAAAGAGGTGGAGTGTATGAAAAGTACTACGCACAGATTCTCACAATCCTAACTCTCCGCTTCTCTTATTCTCTCAAACCCTAATATCAGGCTACTATCAATTTCAACTTGTTATCAGAGCATCTAAAGGAAGCAGTCATTAGAAAAATTGGCAGAAGACTCCGGGAAGAAAACTATATGGATTCAGCTGCTGATGTCAGTTCACAGACATCATGCTGACATAAGCATCTTCCGATGACCAAAACTCAGGCCTAGGGTCATCTCTTTGTGGTGAATATTATTGATAATTTTTTGTTAAATTTTTGGAAGTCATCAAAATAGACTTCTCAATTTTAGAATATTTTCCCATAAATAGGTGTTGATTTCTTCAATCTCTCTGTTTTGCGCAATCTGAAAAACACACTGCTTCAATACCTTGCAGAAATGTGCGACATGGCTACATGAGGCTTTCTGGGAGTGACTCATCCCTGTTCCTTGGCTGATTGCAGTGGTTCTGCTTTGGTTGACTCCGTTTGATCACTCTCTTGGTTATGCACCGGAGAGTTGGTCCTTGATTCTGTCTTCTGTTTTTGAATTGTTTATCTGGCTTGTTGACTGTTGTTGACAACCATTGGTGTGCTTCACATCAAGCTTTTTTTAGTTATTGGGTGATTAATTGGTAGTGGGTCTTTTATGGCGACTCCAGATGATGTCAAAGGTCATCCAGTGCGAAGTTGGATGGCAATAATTATCACTCATGATCTCATGCTATTAAGGTTTTCCTGCGAACCAAGAAAAAATTCTAGTATTTAACTGAGAATCCTTCTCCAAAAGACTCATTTCTAGATATTGATGGAGGAAAAAATTATTAGGATGACAATTTTGGTTTAGTATGGATCCGCATTTTGCCTCCAATGTCCAACTTCTTGACACAACCACAAAATCTAGAATGAATGTGCACAAACAAAATGTGTCTCGAATCCATGAGATTTTTGACTGCATGTTCAATACTAAAATGGTGATAAATCCCTAACCGAACACACTGGGATCTTGAAAAGTTTGTGGGAAGAACTCTAACTAAGGTCATGTCCATCATATTCCATTTTAAAAATAAAGGTTGCTCCGTGCACAAAACCTTTCTAAAACATGTGTGCAAGCCAAAATCAACAACCCGAGCATAAATTCATCATTTCCAATTGCATCACAAAACAATAGTAGTAAGGGTAATTAGTTTTTACAAGTCTAGGATCCCAATTTCATTTTCGTACATTGTTTCGATCACTTAGAAAAGGGAAATGAATACAAAATTTGGTTATTTATTTCCAAAACATTTCAAAACTTTGGTCAAATTATGCAGAAGCATCTTGAAACACCTCAAAAACATTGATGGAAAAATGTCAAAACACCTAAAAACGTACTAAAACACCTTAAAATATTAGAATTTCGATTTAATTGCTAATTCGTTTTGTTCTCATAGAAACAGAAACATTTCACCCGTTTCGACCGTTTCAAAACAAAATTTTGAACTTTGTTCCAAGCGCAGAATGACAAGCAAAAAATAGAAGTTACAACAAAAAAAATTAGAGATAGATAGCATATAAGGTGTCATGTGCACAGTCGCACATTTGCACTAGCTTCACAAAGGTATCCAAGAAGAACCCAGACCCTAAAAATCTATATATGTACTACTTATAAATGTCATTAAACTTTTAATTTCCTTTGTTACCCTTCAACTTTTGTAAATGTACATACAAGTTGCAAACTTCTGACAAAATAATACTATAATTTCATTTTTAAAGTGCATGACTTTGCAAATACAATTGTATTATGTCACTCAACTTTAACTTCATAATGCAAACTTTTGATACTCTAATACTAATTAGATACATCCATTCATTGAAAAAGTCGAATGTGATAATCGAATGCATTGTGTATATTGCATACAATGAAGAAAGAGAGGATACTCTGCATGCACTTGAATATTTTTTGATAGAATGCATGCACTTGAACTTCAATAATGAGATATTGTAAGTGTAACTATGTGTAAGAATCCATATTATGTCACTAAACATTCAATCTACAATGAATATATGCAGCAGGGACATCAATTGTACTTCAAAACTCCTTAACTTTGTAAACTCTATAAATTTTGTTCAATCTCTAATGAATATTTTAGTGCGTAAATGGAATTTCAAAAATTTGTATTCTAGCTTCCTTCACTTTACTGCATTCTCACTCTCTCTCTCACACACACACCTTTTGCATTGAATTTATGCCTTAGTTTATTGATTCGTACAATGACCTCTGGTAGTGAAATTTGATTCCATGATTATCGGTCACACGCTATCAAAAGAGTCTTACTGTTATTGATTATGTTCACTGATATTTTTCTTTGTTTTTTTTAGTTTGTGTTGCAATGGCATGATTGTATTGAGAGTACATTGAAAGGGAATAAGAAGCAACGCAGTTAAAGGAAATGAGTTATACATCTGAAAAGACATAGGGATATTATTTTTTGTTTTTTGTTTTCTTGCTCACAATTTAAATTGGAATACCTTTTGGCACCTAAATGATTATTGTCTTTTTCCACCCAAAACATATATTTTTGAAATTGGATTTGAGTAATGGTCATACTCTCAACCAATTTCTTTGACAGAAGATAAGACATACGACATGGTTGCAAATTTTTGTTGCTCATGCTAGTTCATTTTGTTATTTGGTTAGTGGACTGACCTTAAGATCTAGGAATGACTATTTCTTCCATTAAAAGGGGTCAAGAGGTTGGGGGCTTAGTTCTTATATGTAAGATTTATGTTGCTTAGAAAGACATGAGTGTCTTTCCAGTTATTGCTCCTCGTGGTGGATAGTAGCATCCTTAGCCAGATTCTTAGATTAAGAGTTGTTTCACAATTTCATGTTTCGTATTTTTTTTTACTACATATAAACATAAGATAATAGTTTGAGTCACTATGAACATAATATCAGACAATTTGATTAGACTCCATATGTTCATAATCAACAGTTAGAGAAGGTATAGTCTCCATTTTAATAGTGGACTTCCCTTAGTAAAGATATATAATTAGAAAGGTGGCATCATGGTAAATTTTTCAAAAACAATAGATGTGCTCATTCAATTCCCCACGTGCAACCATTGTTCAAAGTCGCAGTATTGACCATTAACTCGAAGGGCATTGATACACATTGGTCACGACGTCGCGGCACGATATCGGCCTATATGCTTAAAACCTTAGATAGAAGTTCTAAAAAATTTTGAAAAAATCATAAAAAATTCTAAAAAAATATAAACATCATCATCTATGCATCATATATCTACAATACATTCAAGAACACATTAAACATAATTAAAATGAAACATAGGGGCGTTATCTAAAATAATTATCATTATTAGTGTTCAATTTAAGTATTTAATTTATAATTTTTCAAAGTTAAGTTAATTGTTAATAGTTAAGTTCTAATTGAATTATGTGACAAATAATAGAAAATATATAATCAGAAGAATTGGACCAAAAACTAACATATAGGGTCTTGGGTCTTTGGGAACAAAAAATTAAAAAGCCTAAAACCAACACGTGGGGTCTCAGGCATGAGTGTGTGTGTGTGTGTGTGTGTGTGTGTGAGAGAGAGAGAGAGAGATAGGTCTTTGGGAACCAAAAAATAGGAAACTTAAATACAACGTCTTTGTTCAAAACTTATGTACAGTCGACAATCAATAGACGCAAGCGAAGAAAAAGAAAGAGAGATTGTGGGTCTGGCTAGTCACTGAGAGCGCGAGATGGAGTTGGAGAAATGATGCATTAGCTTCGCTACTCGCTGTAAATGAGTTGGGGGTTCGACAAGACGATGCTAGGATTTTTACTGCCAAGAAGAAGAAGAGGGGGCTTTATACGGAACTAAGGACTGCAATTCTTGACACGTATGTTATGTGTTACTTCAATTTTACAAATATCAAATCAATTTATATAATGGGAAAAAGAGGGGAGAAAAAGGTTTGACTTAGGCTTTAGATCTGCACAAAATTACAAATTGCATGTGAAATTGAATGTGGGTTTGAATTTCTAAAAGGCTGATCTGCTTTATTTCTTGTGGGTCATCTGATTTCCTATTTTTTGGCATGTTCACTGTAGTCATCTTCTATCGTCATTTTTTTTTTGACTGTTCTCTGGACTACCAGTGTTGGGTGCATGACTTGGTTTGAATCAAATGCAAATCGATGATTCGACCGAGTTTTACCAAGTTGAAACTGATTCAATGGGTCTCAAGATTTTTTCTTATCGTGTCGCGATATCGTATCGGTCTTGGCCGATACTTTGAACAGTGCGTGCAACGCATGTGTAAACATTTTTTGTTCTTTCCACTTATTGAAGTGATTGTTAGTTTGTTACAACCACGAAGAAACGACAAAATGCCAACCACGAATATATAAAAGCCAAAAATGCTACAAACATTCCATCCAGTGTA